ATTGAGAGACAACGGTGGTTTTTTTTCATCGTTGTAATAATAGAACATGTGTATCTTACATATGGTACTTGTTTGCTATGTGCCATATTGTACTAAAATTTTTTTATACGTACTGCGATTGTTACATGATGTCATACTTGTATTTTTATTACGCTATTGTGTTATGGTAGATATTATTGTGTTATGTTATGTTATTGTGTTACTCTGTTAAATAAAACGAGCTTTTCGGGTTACTTCTTCCCCAAATAAACCCCTCCCACTTTCTTTATAGGAAGTGGGAGGGTGGTTAGTAATGCGAACGTTTAGTTGCAAATACCTATCAGTAGTTTCGTGTAGGTTTTAAAGAGTATTTTTCCAATTGTAACTGACCTCTCTGCCTTTCTCCCAATAATTATCTCTCTCTTGCTATTTTAAAATGTGAAACTATGCACAACACTTGCAATTCGCTGAGTTGCACGGCCTGCCACCGCGACTCTTTCTCTTACTGCTTGCTCGCAGGTCAGGTCACAAGATGGAATCCTGGCCGCGGCGGCCACAATTTTGATGAAGGAGAAAATGCTCGACGCCCGTGTACTCATATTTAGGTGTACCTTAAAGTGCCTCAGGTATTCAAGAATTCCGGGGCTCGCCACTACGGCGTCTCTCATAATCTTATGGTAGTTCTTTGGGCATTGAACCACAACGTTTATTTATTTATTTATTTATTTATTTATTTATTTATTTATTTATTTATTTATTTATTTATTTATTTATTTATTTATTTATTTATTTATTGAATGAGATGCCTGCAACGCAGTTTTGGCATTACGCAGAGGTGATGGGTGAAATACAACCAAAATACAATGTACAAGTGAGAGATTGGTTATAAACGTTCTTACATATGTGGTGAGTAGACGCACTTTGAACACATTGATGACTTGCACTACATAACATAACGCAGGGTGCAACAGTAGATACCGTTTTTTCAAGAAATGGCACATTACCCCAATCGTAGATCATTGAGATATGTCGTATACGAATCAGTGGTGATAGGAGATGGATCGATGAAACACTTTTATTTGGGTCCTGAAGGATTCCACCCCCGTTTTATAGGGGTAGGATCGCGGGCCGCTCCCACGTTGGGACGGGGAGGCCCAGCCTCACCGCTGCATCGTGGGCCTTCTGGACAGCCGGTGATAGGAGAGAAAAAAAAATACTTTAATTACATTGCCTTCGATCACATTACGTCACCACGTTGATGTCTGCCGTTATGAACCTGCTTGATTGACATTCTGGATTTCGACATGTCCGTTGACTGGACTAGTGTACAACCGTAAATAAGCTGTGGGGAAAAAGTTGCCACATTATGTAATTCTATTTGAGATCAAAGTATTTCATAATCTTGTGCATAATATTACAGTGAAAGCTGTTATGAGATCACGCTTGGTTCCGCCGCCTCCACTGTCGGTGTCCGTAACCACATCGACCAAAATTGGCAAAAAGTTATGGTACCATTGGCACAGTGGGGCTCGAGCCTGGGTCCGCTGGGTGCCAACCCCATATTCTACCACTGAGCCACGCCGGAAATTGGGACCTGTTTGGAAACTTTCCTTAGGCAGGCCTGATGTCGTGAAAGCAATCGCGTTATTACGACTTATAAAGAGTTTTAAAACAGCGTAAGAACAAGCAGTCGTCGCACAATGCGAATAGCGTAACGAGTGGGCCGTCCAATGTTCTAACCAATTACATGAGCTTGTTCTTGTTCCCCTATTAACTGTGGCGTATACCCTATTCAGCCGTAATTCCTCCTTGTCGTCAGCCCCATTATGAACAATTGGCACAAAATTTTTTGCAAGTGTTTAGCGGATACCACGCTTCTCAAAAGAATGGCGAAAAATAGCATAGCGAATGCCAGCTTACTATTCTAATTTTTTTATTATTAATGCCGTAGTGGGTACCCAGCAATTGTGCTTGCAGGAGCTAACAAATGAGTGCTTATAAAAAACTTTGAAAGGCCCCTCTTCTATAGCTTTCGCTGTAACTTGGCTGCGCCTTCCACGCAGGCCTGGCATTTTTAATGCATTTACATAATACGAAATGATCAATATATTCGACAAGATATAATAATGTATTTTTAGGATCATAAATAGTTGTATAGCATATACATAATTATTCCAAAAGCTTGCTTTGCATAAATTTCGTATATTGCATTTTACTTGCAGCTATGAAATAGCGTTGGAAGTTGACACAGAGTGTGAATAAAGCACAGTCAACAAAGCACTAAATCATCCTGCTTTGTATTTTTCTCTGGTGAGCTCATCTGCGCGTTTTCTGGAATAAAAGCAAAGATATGTTTGTAGAGCCCTTCGTTGAAGCCTCATCCATCAGCTACAAACACTCCCGTGTAACTAGCGTAGTTTTCCCCATGTTCTGAGCACCCAACACTGGTCCTGGTTGCGGCCACATCGGCCGTTGCATGAACACTAAGGGCGCCCGAGCAGTGCACAAGAGAACAAGATAGCAGCGGCTCCTATTTACAAAAAAAATTTTGAAAACACGCCACGTCGGCTCGTAGCACGGCATCGATAAAGAAGGGGTCAGTTTCCTGATGACCTGCTCGGCGCTCCCTTCCCCCTCGGTGTGCCCCTCGTTGAGTCCAACGCTGCAGGTCTTGTCGCCTGGCCAAATGAGGCGAGCTTCGCTTAATCTTCCTTCAACCAGGAGAGGGCGAACTCGACGGAGGAAGAAGCTGAATGGCGGGGAGAGTGGTTTGTGTATGGCTGGTGGTGTCTAGAAGTATAATAGGACCATTTGTCCTTGCTCATATTCTTGCTTAGATGGCGACTTTTCTGAGGAAGGCCCTTCGTCCGCCATGTTTACGTATCGGCATTGGACGAGCGGCCAACCGATCGACCGGCACGCCAGTCGCTGGTGATGACACTGCAGCAGGCTTCGGCTGTGCCTCTGGTCCTGTCTTGGCTTCGTTCCTTTGTTTCTTCTTGATATGTGTACGCGTCAAAGAGCTTAGGTAGCTGTTTTCTTATGTAGGGAAGTTGCGAAACACCCGTCGCGTGAGTAATGGATGCCGCCTCCGGCTGCAGTGCGGATGCTGCCGTTATTTTGAGTTCGAGATGAGGGCAAGGGAAATGATGAGCGACCGCTCCCTGACCTTCTTTCACCGAATTTTCTACGTACTTTGTTTTCCCCCAATTTGACAGATTTTCCCTGTCTAGTGGGGGAATTTGTCTTGGTTATCAAAGCGCTGATGTCTTCGAAACTAGCCTCTTATCGACATACACTGTGACGGTCTGGCAAGCTGTTCAAGGGTGATAAAGTTTCTTTTATATTGAACGCCTCGCTGATATCCTGACCCTCACTTGAAACAACTTCGCTTGCCTGCCAGCTCTTTGGTCACCGTCGTCGTTGGGGTTAATTGTGACGCTACCCGTTAAGTAAAGTTAATGCATTTATAGTCATATCAGAAGTTGGCCCGTGTTCAATAAGGAAGGCACTGGCTACTACTTGGCTGTCGAATAGGCGGAATGTAAGATTCGCAGGATATTCGAAAAAAAAAAGACATGTGAAATAACACTGTCAGAATAACACCACGATGTAAAAATCAGTGCTAGCACAATATGTAGGCACCACTACCACAGGCAACATATATGACTCAAGAAAACAGCCGGAAACACACAAATTCGTACGCGTCTTCTTGTATTTGCCCTTGTTCAAAGGTTCACACTGCTTGGCAGATGCGACAATTGGTGAATCGTTTTGAGCACATGACATGTTTTGGGGAAGTCGTACTCATAGTTCTTAAACGGGAAGCATCTGTTGATGAACCTAATGCGCTTTGAGCGTTATTATCTATCTATATATTTGTCTGTTCTGTCTGTTGGTAGCGGGATCGAATTCGATCCCGCGACGTGCGGGTCAGCAGCCGAGTACTTTAGCCACTAGACCAACGTGGCTGGGGCAAGCGCTGGTCTCTATTGTCTGTAGTACAGCAAGAGCGGCATGCTCGTGTGCCCCCGCGCCACTTGGATTCGATGCGCGGCCGCGCCTGCTGCACTGACGCTGCGTAGTGCGCTGCCACGCTGAGCTATGTTCTCCCAAACGGGCTCACCGCTGTACATGTGAATGTTTTACAGCGATAAGAGAGCACCGTGAAACATGGGAAACACTCTGTGTATGTTCCAGCTACTCAAGTACTTGATTAATTGATTGATTGATCGATTGATTGATTGATTGATTGAATGAATGATGAAATGGGTTTAACGTCCCAAAGCTACCATATGATTATGAGAAACGCCGTAGTGGAGGTCTACGGAAGTTTCGACCACCTGGGGTTCCTTAACGTGCGCTCAAATCTGAGCACATGGGCCTCCAGCATTTTCGCCTCCATCGGAAATACCGCCGCCACAGCCGGGATTCGATGCCACGACCTGCGAGTCAGCAGCCGTGTACCTTAGCAGCCAGACCACCACGGCGGTGTGCTCATGTACTTTATTATGCAGAGCGTACTAACAGGCGCCGCTACGAAAGTAGCAATGGCTGTGTCAGCACAGCAAATAATAAAAAAAATTGATCCCAGTGAAGATTTCAGTTTTCGCCATTTTACATTTTCTATCCTTTCTTCGCAGTCGAGTAAGACAATGTCAAGTTCAAGCATTTTTTTTTTATTTCTCGTGTTCGATAGCTCATATCTATAGCCATCATTCCGTCCTTTTTTTCTGTGACGTAAAAGGAACAGGTGTATTTCTTAGTGTGATACATATTTGTAATTACCGCGTATTTTGCATGTATATATCTATGGATATGGGCTGTAAAACCAATTTCATGCATGAAGTGAAATGATGTATCAAGGAATTTGTTATGTATACAGTGGTCATATCTAGTCGTGTAGCTCCAGTCTATAGGCCGGCTTGCAGGAGATAACGAGAGAGTTCCGATTGCAGCCCTTAGCGTATGAATCAATGAAAGTAAAGAATATGCTTTTTTTTTTCTTCTTGTCGGTCTAGGTGCACAGCTGAGACTGCCAGCGACTACGTGGAGTTCTCCAGTGCCCGAAGAGCGCATCACAAGATTCCTCGCCATTGTGGCATGCAGAAACCACCGAATATCGAGTCAGAGGGTGAATTCTTCCGAGTCACCTTCAGGACCAATGACCGTTTTGACGGAACGGGCTTCTCAGCGCAATATCAGTTTAGGAGCGTGATAGGTAACACCCGCTTGAGTTATACTCTTCGGTAACGCGTACAAGAACCGCTTGCAGTAACGTCAAGTCAGCGTCAATGATGAATAGTCCCCATTCCCTATCCGCAAGCGTTGCGTGTCGGTGTTCTTAATAAAAAAAATAATAATCGAGAGTTTTCTGGGTGAAGAAGCAGCTCGCAAATAAGACGCTCGCGCTTGTGCATGTTTAGTTTTGTGACCAAACGAACCCAGGCATTCGCGTTACGCCACTTTTTGTTCGGAACTGGTTCTGCATGCAAGCACGTGCAAGTTGTCTGACGTAAACTACGTGTGAATTGCTTGTAGCAGTTATGTGTGGATATCCATAAAAGTGCTGTTACCGTTCTACGATGTCAATGTATATCTATCTCTACTGTTAGCGATGAATGGATTGTAGTCGTAAATAACCTCTTCCATGCTGCCGCCTCCTCTTTTATCATATATTCATCGGACTTAGATATATATTGCACGAGTATAGACCACTTTGATTGATTGATTGATTGATTGATTGATTGATTGATTGATTGATTGATTGATTGATTGATTCTGCACTCCATTAAGTAAAAAAAAGAACTAGACATAACGTGATGCGACGAATGAAACCATAAACAGTTTTATATGTTGTCGTTACAGATCCCTATACAATCAAAAGGTTCAGGGGAGGCGCAACCTACTTACAAGGTAAACTACCTACAGATCTCCTGCTGTGTTTTATTAACTGCCTAGACAAATTTTCGTTTCCTTTGCTGGCCTCAGCAAACACTCTGCTTGAGGGAGCTATGTGTAAAGTTTACCAACAGAGTGTAAATATGAACGTTTCCATGTGAAGCCCGCTCGTAAGCCCACATAAGCAGCGAGTACAGAGGTAAAAAAAACGAGGTTAAAGAAACGTAAACGAGAGCTCCGAACAAATTGTTAGATCAAGCTATTTCATAAGTGTCGCCGTCGAGCTGACCTGAGGGACTACCAGCATTGGCTAAAAAAAAAAAGAGAAACCTCGTGGAGAAGAAAAAGAAAAAAGAAAAATGAAAATTGTAAAAGCAAGGCTTTCCCATCTTTATCATGTATTTTCAGCACTTCATTTTCACCACTGTCATTCAAACTAAGCTCCTAAAGTGCAGGTGGATTAAAATCGGACTGCTTTTCTGTGACGATGTCACCACTGCTTTTCTGTGACGATGTCACCACTCAGTCAAAATACACGTGTCTAGATAAACGCAGTGGTATATAACAGCCATGGTATGTCATTTTGCCCATCTAGAACCTATCCTCCTTTGCAGAGTAGCATTGGGCGAGATGAGCCATAGTTTAACAAAATAATTGTGGCTCAGACTGAGTCATAATTTCTTGTTGTTACTTTGCGCCTCAATCTTTAACAAAGTGGGTGCATGACAGAGCTTTCTTCTTGTTACATATATTTAAGGGCGAAGGCGCCCGAAGCGGAACAGGGAGCTGTTTCACCGTGACCCCTGTATTATGCGCTAAAACTAGAGGAAACGAAAGAGAATGACAATATTTCTTTTCGAGGGAACATATGACAGCTACATGCAGAAGTAAAGACCCTCTAGGCCTAGAAGAATGTAAAGGCCTAGAATGGGAAGGGATAGGGGTACGAGTTAAGGAGAATACTTTGGTAACTTGCGCTTTGTCGATGAGATTCTATTGATGAGGAACTCAGGGGATGTATTGCAATTCATGATCACCTAATTAGACAATAAAATCGGTAAGGTAGGTCTTTGAAAAATCTGCAGAAAACGAAACTAATGTACGACAACTTCGGAAGAGAACAGCGCTTTGAGATAGGTAGCAGTGCACTTGTAGTTGTAAAATAGTGCGTCTACTTAAGACAAGTAGTAACCGCTGAGCCGACCAACCATATTGAAGTAACTCGAAGAATAAGAATCGGGTGGAGCACATTGGGCAAGCATTCTCAAATAATGAATCGCAGATTGCCACTATCCCTCAAGAGGAAGATATATACCAGTTGCATCTTACCGGTCCTTATCTACGGAGCAGAAACCTTGAGGATTACAAAGAGGGTTCAACTTACGTTAAGGACGACGTAGCGAACAGCGGAAAAAAAATGATAGATGTAACCCCATGGGACAAGAAGAGAGCACAGTGTATCAGGGAACAAACGGGTGTTAAGAGCATTATAGTCGAAATTAAGAAGAAATTGTCATGGGCAGGGCACGTGGCGCGAAAGCAAGATAACGGCTGGTCAATAAGGATCACAGACTGGATTCGAAGAAAAGTCAAGTGGGTGAGGGCGCGACAAAAGTTAGATAGGGAGATGAGAATAAGAAGTTTGCGGGTGTAAAGTGACAGCAGCTAGCACAGTACTGACTGGAGTGGTGGAACATGAGAGAGACATGAGCCCAGCAGTAGGCTGGTTATGATGAAAGACGCTCAACTGCTTCTAGCGAAGCAGTGCAAAGCAAAAAGATATTAATGATTGGAGATTGATCGATAGCCAAGAGAAGCTAAAGCGGAGGTCTACAATCTAGTCTTCATGAAAATGCAAGTTTAATGGCATTGAAAATTTGATACCTAATATTCATGATTACGCGTACTTCTAGCATTACAAATGGGACAAGTTTTGACATAAATATTTGCTGGATTCCAAAAAACCCATTTAATCATCATCATGTCAAAATGTTGAGCGTGATACAAAGGTCGAGTGAGTATTCAGGGAAACACAAGCGAATAAAAGCGAACTTTGTGGAATATCTGGAAATAGCGCTTAGCTATGCGACTTTGGATTCTGATAGAAGGCAAACGCGTGAGGGTAAGCATATGCGAATAAAAGGACACTAAAAGCAACTATTAAGTCGCCGTTGATTATTAAAATAGCGGTCTAGAAACGTCGTAGTGTTACTTTTGTGCCTAATGAGTGCTTATCTTGAAATCACGTTTTAGTGGTCCACATCGGGTTAGCACACTTCGAATGGCTAGCCTCACACAGGACGTGTCACATCACTGTTGCGGTGCACAACATTGCCCGCCTTTACTGCGTGACCGCCAACACTAGTAGCAACAGAACGAAAGTAGCGGAAGACATAGCAGCAATAAATGACATTGAACGATTTCCAGCCATGGCCTGCGAGATGGCAGACGTAATTTGTTCAACTGCCCTCCGCTAGATGGCACGACCTCTCCATTTTAGCCAAGCAATAATTGAACTTTTGAACCACTCGCGCTGTTCCCCCAAACGTCCGGCGGTTATTTTTTCTATTAATCAAACAGAAACGAACAAGCAGCATTTTATTACTTCTCTTCATGCACGGAAAGTTCTTTATATAGTGCAGCTGGTTTGATCACTAGTGAATAATTGTAGGCGATACCGTTGACATAATCAGGATCATTTTGCGAATTTGCAATTGTAGCGCATGTTTTCTTGTGCATACACCTTATTTCACGGTAAGTTGGGCTTTGCTGGTGATAATATTGTCGTTTTAGACGCTGTCATAGATTGAGCTTTCACTCTGACATAAATTATTTGACTTTAGTGTTCCTTTAAAGAGTGCTGGGACACGGTGGCTGCTGCAAGAGCAGGAACGTAATAGTCGGACGGACACAGGGTAGAGGTTCTTGCCGTGTAGGGGGCGCAGTCTAGGTGATGGTGATGATGATGATGATGATGATGAAGATGAAGAGTTGATTATAATGATGATGTTGTTGCTTAAGCTGCTGCTGATGATGATGCAACGCACCCTGTTTATCTCACAGCCTTTTGCTTTTTTACAGGCTGTACGCAGATTATTGCCCTCATCATCTTCGTCGAGTTCCTGCGATTTGTTGGAGGAATTCGGTAGCAGCGGTGGCGTTTTAGTGCGGACAATGGTGTACTCATGCTGGTGCCTCTCACGACCAGTGACGATAGTGGTGGCGAGCGAAAAGATGGACTCTGTGGCACGCTAAGAAGGCACAAGCAAAGCAATGTTTCGAACACTCTTTGACATTTTACGGGTGTGTGGCGCATGCAACTGTGAATGAGGAGCACCGTTCATCGATGTTTCTTGCTCAAGAACTTGACGCCATGGCTGTCGAATGGATGCGCGGAAGAGGCTGCAAGAGAGATGACTCTCGGTTTCGGTCACAAAAAAGAAAAATGCCGCATGTGAGACACGCGGATGTTATGTGGGTAATGAAGAACATGATAGCTATTCTGAAACGCCTCCTTTTATGCGGAATGTTGATCGGAGCTGAACAGTTGTCGTCTGTAGATTTTTGTATCTTGTTATCACTCGTTAGACGTTTCGGCAGTCAGCGGTGAGGGCTTTTCTGTAGAAATATCGAGTTTTCTCACGCGTCTGTAGGGAATGCCACTGTTCTATCTCATAAAGTTCGTTATTTTTGCTGCCTTCTTTATTTAGTTGATACAAGACCCGCACACAGACTGATTGTAAAGAAAAGAACTAAATCCTGCCAACAAACGGCGATCGCTTTACGCACAAGCCTATTGAAAGAAAGACTCTTTTAGTGCTGGCGATGAGATGGTATAAGAAAGGTGTGCCATAAAAATGGACTTAGTGTACTTAATGTAGACATCCGTAACAGAACACCCCGCTGTTCTTTCTTTTTTTTTTTATTTTCAAAAGAAAGAAGCACATTACATAGTTGCACATGTCTTCAAAAATTAGGCATTCTGCATGCGCAATCGTATGTATAGCATGACTTCGTTCTCAGTGAAACTTGATCGACATATTCGCTAAGTTCAACATTATAGTTCACACAGGAATAAGCTGCATACTACAGGCACACAAAACAAGTAGACACTTCCGAGCCGTAGTTCTCTTGTGAATTATTCACTTGCGGTTTTACTAGGAGTACAACTGTTTAACACAATACTACAAAGTTTGGGCAAGGTTGTCTGATAAAAATGAATTTTTTCACTGCTACATTCCACGTTCATCATTAGGTTTTTTACATTGCTCTTCTGGAGTTTTCCAGGAAAGTGCCCTAAAAGCGCCGAACAAGCAATGCTGCAAGCAACACCATTAGACTGAAATTTTGGGATGAAGAAAATGGCTTTTATGCGCAAGATGATTGTTTAAAAACAGCAATAATTATACTTTTAGTACCTACCACACGATGTGACAGGACCTTCTCGCTGTGAAAATCAGTTTAATCGGCGATGTTGTGCTCAAATGTTGTGCTCAAGTTTTTTTTTTCGCAGGTGTCATTCACAGAGTTTCTTCTTTTAAGAGCGCACGTGTCCCATGTTGGCCAGATTTCCGCATTGTTTAAGAAACAAAACAAAATGCATGCCTGATTTCACATCCTTCATAATTGGTAAAATGTCGACAGTCATCGATTCTTGGGGAGATATTTTGACACGTCTGACATATTCACTATATCTCGCCCTTCGAAGACACATGCGTCCAGACAACCAGAATAAAACTCGTAAGTGTGCAAATCGCTAAGACGAAGCAAAGCAAACTTGAGGTTGTGTTTTTTCAGGAGTATTATCAAAAGTGGTACACGCAATTACGGCATGTAGCAAATAGGTTGAACACGGTTATGATTACATTGAGAAATAGCAAAGTAAAACTTGTTTAATCATGCCACAAAGTGTCACTTGTTGAGCCTTTGTGTTGCGTGGGAAAATGTTCACTGTTTTGGGTGCGGAAGCATGAAACCAAGAGAGCTAAGCATACTGTGAAAGTTTGTTCAGTTTTCCAGGCTTAGGTGAGTGCAGATTACCTTGCGTTTTTACACACAAATTGTAAGGGACTGTTTCACTCTTTTTTTCGTATATTGCAGCGTATGGTCCACGTATGAATTACTTTTCATTGCCTTACACAGACCAGCAGGGCTAACTTTATATATATATATATATATATATATATATATATATATATATATATATATATATATATATATATATATATAATATATATATATATATATATATATATATATATATATATATATATATATATATATATATATATAGTGCATGAATTGTCGAGCCTTGTTTCGTTTTTTCTTTACACGTCACAAATGTGCTTTTGTTAGGAAGTGAGAGGCTGAAGGCCAGGTGCCTGTACAGTTCTGCTTCGACGAGCGTTCACCTGTAGCTAAATATATATTTCTTCAATAAATGATGGAGTCATAAGTAAACACACCCGAAACTTGAGTGTTATATTTCTTGGCGTAGAATGTGTCTTTGAAGCCTTTTTAGAGTTTTTTTTTCAACCCACTGCTATTTCCCGCGTTGTTCGCCTGAGAAGCCGTGAGCGTTAGAAGGCGTTCACACCATCCACTGACGGAAATACGCAAGCGAACTGACCCGTGGTGGCCGATACTTACACCAACAAGCCGAATCTGCCGGTTGTCATGCCACTGTTGCTGCATTTCACATCTGTTTTCCTCATTTCTCGTTCCTCGCATACAGCCCCCTGTAGTAATCTGCAGCGTATTCCGACGTCTTGCTCCCGAGATACGTTTTTGTTCAGTAGATTTGCCACTCCAATAAAGCGTCTAAAGAACCGGTCAGTATGCGACTTCACCTATTCATGCAGTAGGTTTTCCACAAAAAGTGACCCATCGCGGCACCGATGTCAGCCGCCGACGTGATTGCTGCCTTGGTGCTAGTTTTTGCGGATCTTGCTTGACCTGTGTATGCCTTATAAGAACATCAGTAGCGGCCAGCCGTAAGAGAGACAGATAAACTATAGGAGTTTTTATTTTATTTATTTATACAATACTGCAGACCAATTTAATGGTCCAAGCAGGACGGGCAGAAAAAAGAATGTTCACGCACATACAGTGCAATGCAATGTAACAAAAACAATGAAGCAACAAAACGCAGAATTCACTTGGAACTACAAAATAAACAAGCCACGGTGAAACCGACTTTTCGCACAAACATAGCAGGGTTTCCAATCCAAATAAAACTAGAAAATCTCGCACAACTTCAAGAAACATTGCTAAAAACCCGAACGTCAGTAATTAAAAGTTTCTAAAATGATCGTGTAGGGCTGTCATAAAATTTCCACTAAAAATTCTTTCTGGCAATTTATTCCAGTCATCTACCGCACGTGGAAAATATGAAAACTTAAAGGTATTTGTTCGGGCAAAGAATGGGGATAAACTGTGGCTATGTGTGTGTCGTGTTTTCCTCGTGGTGGACGGACTAATGAATGGAGTGGGTGATAATCCAGTCTTACACTTAATTAGGGATTCCATAAAGGAGTGTGCAAATTCCGAATTTTCAACTTCGAAATGAAATACAATAATGCAAACTAATGGCGAATCCTGTCTAGAATCAATCGTGAATCACGAATCGTGGTAACTGAATTGAACTTGTAAATTTAAGCATCATATGCGGTGAAGTTTAGCACAGTTGTGTAATTCTTTGTGCTTACTTCAATAGATCTTGTTAATATTTGTGATAATCGAATATTTTCAAAAGTGCCATGAAAGATCCGGGTGAGTCAAATATTTCAAGTTTTGAATATTTGCAACTATAGCTAAATCCTAACGTGTGAACGTTAAGTGTCAATTTTTTTTTTCATGGTGCACCTGTGCACAATCGTTCCTATCTCACAGATGGCACAACTGTGAACACACTTCAGCCGACAACACTCTTAGTTAAGACTGTATACTGGCGAGAGGATCTTAGAACACATTTCCTTCGGGTGTCGCCGCGACAATGTGCTGAGACATCACTTACTATCTCGCACACTTCAATGGCGACCGTTCCGAAATGTCCACCTGGGAAGTCATCGCTGACATAGGCGAAAATGTAGTGGTGACATAGACTGCACAGGGCTAGCAATAGTGCACCATTGTGTGTGTGCTCGGGCCGCGCTATATATTTCTCTCTTTTTACTGTCTTACATTCCAAACATCACCGTCCCTCTCTCTAGTGTAGGGCAGCATGCCAGTTTCTTTTTTATTTTTTTAACGGGTGAACCTTGGTGTCTTTCTCCTAAAATGTAGCGTGGAAACTCGGGCAAGTTGCCACGCTCTTTGCAGCGCTCTTTTCTGTCCTCGTTTTTTCACTTCCGTAGTTACGCAGTAACTACTTCTAGGTTGCGCTGTTCCTACTTTCAGTTATCTCCTAAAATGTGTTTCCCTTCTTCCTTCCACCAGTCGTCCAAAACGTGCACGCTACTCAAATAATTTTCAGACTTGAAGCTTGAAACTCGTAATGCACTGCCAAACCAAACATACGCTCAGAAAGCGCCACGTGCACGTATACCATTACAGCGAGTACAAGTTTGTAACGACCTCTGGATTCTCCCGCGCTCTCATCTCTTAGCCAGGGCAGGAACGGACGCTTCATGCTTAGTGAAAGAGAAAAACCAATCGTTGCCCGTCATGCTCAAAGCCGCCGTCTCTTGGATGACTTGAACATACATTTCATCACGCCAGAAGCTGCAATTGACCATGTGGTGGCCCTGCGTCCCGACTGAGCTGGCTTAATATATATATCGTGCATAACCAATGACGTTTCAAAGACCGAAAGACGCCGCACATTTCGTTAGGCTCCATCAGTCATTCCTACTCTTTCGGCATATTATCTTTTTTGGACTGCAGGCAATCTTCTATTCCGGTCTCTTTTTGGCAACGAAGCCGTCGTAGTGAAGGCTGTTTTTCTTATATCTCATTCGCGTAGCGTAGGTTCGCCTGTTCTGTCATGACGAAACGGTAAACACTCTTTTTTTTTTCTTGTCTGCATTGTGTCGTAAGAGCACTTTGCGGACTTGAAAAGGCGTTGGGCAAGCCGCAAGCAGGCTATAAGAGTCCTGTCGTGGCAGAAGTGCAACGAAGCGCTGTTTTGTTGTTAGATTCGCTTGTACTTGCGGCTGTTATTGCTGCCGCGTATGGCACGCGGCCGCGAACTCGCAGAAGCACGCGTAGCTTCAGCGCTGTGGTCGGTCTTCTCGGCAACTCATCGATTCCGAGACTCGTGGACTCACTGAAGGCTAATCAATTGCCGACTTTCTTTCGCATCAACGCAAACATCTCTATACAGGCATCCACTGATTGATGAGTGCCTCGAACTGCAAAATTGTGATGTCGTTTTCTCGTTTTCCGCATATCTTTTATCTTCTCTTCATGTCGCATGGCATTTGTGTGCTTGCGCACTAACGCTATGCGTGATCAAAAATTCAGTTCTTTGCTATAGATAGGCACACCATGCCCGAGTTCTTGTTTCATTTACAATTCTGTATAGGTGCTTCTGAAAGATTTATTCCTTCAGTCCCAGGTAAATCGGGACATGGTGCACATGGCGTTCCCTAACGGAACTAGCGCCTAAACCAAGAATCTCTGATAAATGCCAAAAAAAAAGAAGAAATAATGGAAGAGCAGCGAGATCGGAGGAGGATGAGCGATGACAAGTACAACAT